CAAGGGCAATGGCTTGAACCTGCCAGAGGGTCGTGCCGTGTCCGTGGGTTTCAGCTCTCACTCTTCTGACCGTTGCCTACTCCAGACACCCTCCACGTGCCCCAGGGCCGCAGTGCGGGTGAGGACACCGCTGCCGCCATCCCCGTCCACGCTGGCCTATCCCTTGATGGCAGCAGAGGCCTTTGCAGAAGGAACCCGCAAGCACAGGCTGGGCACTTGCTCCCTTTGCTTTCAGGCTAAGCCGAACCTGCTGGTTATCAACTGCCACCAGCCCTGCCTGAGCCCCAGGCCAGCCCTGATCAGTCCCTAAGAGCCTGTGAAGCATCTGGGGTGACCAAACCGTCCGAGTCTTGTGAAATAAAATGCCCTTTTCTTCTGCTTAACACCTTCCTGCTCACCCTTACTGCAGTTTATACACGTTTATCAAAGTTTTTAGTCTTTTTTTCTTCTTCTTTTACTGTGCTCCGCAGTTTGAGAACTTCACAGAAGACATTTACCCCACTGCACCCTCCCAGACAGGAAGGAACGGCACCACCCAGGCGTGCACCAGAATGAACATGTACCAGCGCTAGCAAATGTACGTTGAGGTGCAGCTACTCCAACCACACTGCTCTGCACTGTGCAGGGCACTGCAGAAAGCAGGAGCTCATGCAGCTGGTGGATGTGGCGCTACCAGCACAAGGAGCAGCCTGAAGTGCTGTGGAGAGTGGATCAGAACGTTGCCCTTCACTTGGAGCACACAGAGCCTCCTGTTGACAAGACAGAGCATCTCACACCCTGCCCAAGTGCCCTGGCCTCCGAGTACTGGTGGAAACGCCTGTGGGTAGGAAGAGAAAGGTTTCCCAACGCAGAACGCAGTGTGTGCTGGGATTAAAGCTCAGCTCTGTCTGACAAAGACCTTGGACAGAGTTCTGGACTGAGCCCAACTCTCAACCTCACTCCTGGGAGGTTGTGTTGCAGTTCTGTGCCTCAGTTTCTCCTGTGTAAGATGGAGCCAAGGAGTCAGACCCTTTTGGGACTGCCTGCATCACCTCCACATGGAGAGCCCCAGCACAGTGGCACCACCATGGCAATCCACCTTTGCTTTGCCACCTAGAACTCCATCTGCACACTGCCTCTCTGGTGGGCGCCCTCAGGTGTCCTCAAAAACAGCTCCCAAAGTGCAAACGTCCAGCCCCTGCTCCCACACCTTTGCATGTGAGCATCCTGCAAGGAGCTGACTGACCAGGTTAAATTAGGCAAGTTGCCAATATATTCCTGTTCATTTCCACAGGGGCTG